AGCAGTTTTAGACGCTGATGGAGATCTAACATCTTATTAGTCAATAAATAAATATTTAAGCCAGGTGTTCGCATTATTTTGTGTAATCCCCCCCCTCTCTCTCTCTCTCTATATATATATATATATATATATATATATATATATATATCTATCTATCTATCTATCTATCTATCTATCTATCTATCTCTCTCTCTCTCTCTATATATATATATATATATATATATATATATTAAAATAAAAAAAGAACAGTAAGATATATAATCTGGTGTTTTATTGATATTTTTATTTTTACAAAAGAGTGCTCAATGTAAATTTACAAAACATAAATATTATAAAATAACTGGTTTAAAATAATATATATATATATATATATATATATAGGTAGTAATTCGTGGTATATTCCAGGCAAGCCCTATAAATACATATAGAATTTGAAATATGTTAAAACTGACTGACAAAAGTGCGCTCAATATCTTCAGTAAATGACCATATTCACTTACGAAATTTAATTTTAAAATACGGAAGATTTTTCAAACTGTCTATGATATCAGTCTGTAGTATACTGTTACATATATATATACATACACACGCACACACACACACACACACACACACACACATATATATATATATATATATATATATATATATATATATATATATATATATATATATATACAGTGTATCACAAAAAGTGAGTACACCCCTCACATTTCACCCTTGCCCTCAGCCTCTTCAGTAAAGCAGTGGTTGTTTTGGATGTGTGTTTGGGGTCATTGTCATGCTGGAACACTGCTCTGCTAACATGTCTTCAGCAAACTGTTTACGGGCTTTCTTGTGTATTGCCTTCAGAAGAGGCTTCCTCCTGGGGTGACAGCCATGCACACCAATTTGATGTCGTGTGCGGCGTATGGTCTGAACACGAACAGGCTGAATCCCAATCTCTTTAATCTCTGCAGCAATGCTAACAGCACTCCTACGCCGATCTTTCAAAGAAAGCATTTGGATGTGACGCTCAGCACGTGCGTTCAGCTTCTTTGGACGACCTACCCGAGGCCTGTTCTGAGTGGAACCTGCTCTTTTAAAATGCTGGATGATCTTATCCACTGTGCTGTAGCTCAGTTTCAGGGTGTTGGCAATCTTCTTGTAGACTTGGCCATCTTTATGTAGTGCAACAATACATTTTTTAAGATCCTCAGAGAGTTATTTGTCATGTGGTGACATGTTGGAACTTTCAGTGACCGGTAACTTTTGTTGCTAGGGATTTAGCTTTTAATGGCTATATTTTGAGTTATTTTGAGGGAAAAATAAATTAACACTGTTATATATGCTGCAGACAGACTACTTTTCATTGTGTCAAAAGGTAATTTTTCAGTGTTGTCCTATGAAGAGATATACTTAAATATTTGAAGAAACGTGAGGGGTGTACTCACTTTTGTGGTACACTGTATATGTGTGTGTGTGTGTGTGTGTGTATTTTTTCCTGAAAGCTTCATTAAATATGACAGACAAGGTGCTATGATTAAGGTTTTTTTTATATATAATTTCTCATATGATCTTATATTTTTTCATTTCTCGTGCCAAATTATACCAAAAAAATCTAATTTACAATAAAAATGTTAAGATCATATAAGAAATTATATAAAAACAATCAAACCACCTTTTCTAACATATTTAATGAAGTTTTGCATATATATATATATATATATATATATATATATATATATATATATATATATATATATATGTGTGTGTGTGTGTGCATGCATGCGTGTGTATGTGTAATTTGCTATTTAATTACACATACGGATCAACACTGAATGGTAACTGTCATTTTCACGCTTTCATGCGATCTTTATATCCAAGTCCAATGCTTGAATTGATGTCTGTCCGCTTATCTAGTAAAGACAACTTTCACGTATCATTCAACTGAAGACAGACCATTTCTTCTCTTGTCTTTTCATTCATTGACCAAAATTGAATTGGGAATCACGCCCCAATAAAAACACTCTTCACTCGTTTCAAATGCCAAAAACACACAAAAGAAGCAAGAAAGGAAAGAAGAAACCTTGTAAGAAAGGAAAGCCTCCCCCACCACCCAGCAAAAAAAAAAAAGAAAGATAAAAGAAAATGGAAAATTGAAGAAAACAAAGTGGATATGGTCATTATGTGGGTGACTATGAAGAAGAAAATAAAAGACAAAATTCTCGTGACGTGATAGCTGTCTATAATTCAAAATAACTAATTGTTTGAATTTCTTTCTCGATAAAAGCAATTCATGACAGACTCGGTTCTTCCCTAAAATAAATATAATCTATATAGTAATGTAAGATATTTTATTTTTAGTTGTATTTTTCACTTTCAAATGTCCTTCTTATTATGTCTGCCTTTAGAAACTCACCCACACGTAATTTATAAGTCTCCTACGCACATATATAGAATTTCTCAAATACATTGGCCAAGAGACATAATTCACACTTAAAAAAAATAAAATGATGCTTCTACTAGCACATGACTGTCTAGAAAATAATATGTCGTTGGAAATACATACACATATATATATATATATATATATATATATATATATATATATATATATATATATATATATAGTCATGTGTATTTGTGTGTGCGCACGCGCGTGTGAGTGCGGGTGTCGGCGTACGTGTGTGTTTCCGACTACTTCAAACTGAATGGACGGAAGATTGCATTTAATCATGAAACAGACTGTTGCCGCTAGTTATTGACCTCAGTGTCCACTTTTATATTTACATACGTGCTATTACTGAGATTGACCACTTTTATCCATAAATATATTAACACTTATATCTTGCTGCGCATATATATATATATATATATATATATATATATATATATATATATATATATAAAGTGAATATAATTTTAGAGACGACAGTCTGTTACATGGTGACGATTGCATCTAGCATGAAACAGACTATCGCCTCTAAGTGTTGGCTTCTATGTTCATTTTTATATTTACACGCGCTCCATCTCTGATATTGAGCACTTTATCCCATAAATATAGCCCATCTTAAGACTATATATTTTTTCATCTATCTATCTATCTATCTATCTATCTATCTATTATCTATCTATATATATATATATATATATATATATATATATATATATATATATATATATGTATGTATGTATGTAAGGAAAAATCGTAGTCTAAATTAAGCAAAAATGAAAAATACCACTGACATCTTATTTTAACAAATATATTTACCAAAATTAAACAAAAATATCTTGAAATAATAAAGAGTGAATTTACTTCATAAAATTGCTATTTCCTTTAATCATGGCTTCCAGACGACTTCGGAATATTCTGCAACTCTTCTGGGAGGGGGGTGAGCAAGTTTAAATTGTCGAATGCTTCTCTAATCATTGTCTTCAGTTCCTTTTTGGTTTTACAATGAAATTTGCTGGCTTGTCGCTAAACTGCATCCAGCAAATAATAATCAAAAGGTTTGCAATCTGGTGGCTTGATGTAAGTCATGATGTGACTGCAGAAATTGTCTGACACCCATAACTGGATTTCCCTTATTGTCTGGAATGATTCATGGTCCTTTTGCCATATATAGGGTCTTCCAGCAGCCACCTTGCAGGTCAGCTCTACCTCCTCAAGGCACTTGATGTTGGCCTCCATATTGAGTCCTAGGTCCTGTGGGAAGATGAATGGAGGCAAAACGTCACCATCACTAGTAATTACTCCAAACACTTTCTTAATCACCATTAGACTCATCCATCTCTTCACGAATCCTTCGCACTCTCCATAGATTGACACCAAAACACAGTGAAATGTTTGTATTGGAGCTTCGGGTAGGAATGCCAAGCGGAAAGCATTGCATCATGGTGGTCTTTTTCTCACAGACGGTTCCCAACCGTCTCTACTATAATGTGCTGTCGACAAAAGCAAAAAGCAAACAAACCGCATGCGCAAAATTAAACATATAAATTTACCCATTGTACCGTGTATATATATATATATATATATATATATATATATATATATATATATATATATATATATATATATATATATATATATATATATATATATATATATATATATATATATATATACGCAAAAATATATTTAAGTAGGTTTTATTAAATTCAATCGACAAGGACTGCTTGTTTCATTTTTCTTGTATTTTTCCTATGCGAAATAATGCCGAACCAATTTCTTTTCATCAAAATTTACAGATTTGAAAGGGAATATCACTCTTACAATTCGTTTCTTGATTTTTTTTTTTTCGTTTAAATCCGTTATTTTAGATTTCTAATGCAAACTGTCACTCATACTCTTTGGTATTCATGTCAAGAATCTAGTGGAGACTTTTACTTATAATCCATTAATCCCAGTGTCATTTTTAATTTAACCAAATTCGTTTTCGATTCCGGTGACATTATTTGGTATGTAAACAAAGATAAAAAAGACTACAACAGCATTTCTGAATCTCCATCATTAGAACGACGGCAGTTAGCGTCTAATTTTACAGTCAATATACGAGAAAGAGGGAATACTTTTTTGACAATCAAATGTATAATATTTTACTATATTTGAAAGCAGGTGTTTTAACTCGTCAAGATGTGTACATGCTGTGCTTAAAAGACTTTCCATTCAAAGAAAAAAAATCAAATCTGATGTTGACCACAATGATAAATACATAAATAAAACAAAACACACTGTGATCACTCTTCCATAGGGACATTTTTTTTTTAATTTACGAGGTAACAGAATTTAATTACGTATTTAAATGTTGTTCTCGTGCCTCACTTTGGCATGGCCGTCTGCAGTATTGGATAGAGTTGTGAAAAGTGGAATCGCCAAGCTTTATTCAAATTCCGGCTTCGTCAGTTGCATTCACTTTCCCAATTGTTTCCCTTGCCAAAGTCATGAACCCATATCCTTTCCTGGTGACCAGTTTTGTGTTAGATATAAGAAGCTACGTTATTTAAGCAGATGAAACAATTGGGATAGATAGATAGATAGATAGATAGATAGATAGATAGATAGATAAAGAGAGAGAGAGAGAGGGGGGCAAAGAGAGAGAGCACGAAGGGGAAAGAGAGAATGAAAGTGAGTGAGGAGGACGAAATAAAAGAATCGCAAAGGAATTTGTGACATCGAAACCAGAAGGCGTACAAGAAATTTTCCTCAGACGCAAAGAAAACGGAGCTGAACTGCTACATAAAACCATACATCTAAATAACAGTAAATACGGGAAAATTTCTTCAGAGAGAAAGAAGTGGCAGCAAAGTTGTTGCTCTACAGAAGGATGCTGAAAATATTAATAACGGAGTATGCGATCAACGTGAAAGTTTTAAGGAAAATTTGAGCAAACCAAACACTTGTACTTAGAATCTAGATGGCAGAATTTCTCCTCTAGATAATTAAAGCAAAGATGGCTTTAAAATTTGCCACTCACAGGACATGTCGACAATAAGAGGTGCAAAGGGAAACATCTATGGAAACCTGTCTAACTAACTTATGTAAATGGAGAGCAGAACAAGTAACATGAAGGAGGGATATAAATAGACATATTAATAATATCTTCAAAGGATAGGAAGTTGTGGTCACCCATGTACTGAAAGGAGATTGCGCATAAAAGAAGAGGGAATATAATTCGTATACGCTCGGTAATCTTCTCGAAAAGACTGATGGGATATTATTTCTTTTTTTTTTGTTTCCTATCGTTGAATTCAATGAAAACGGGTCACAAATATTTAAAAAATAAATCAAAATGCAAGCTTGAATATTCTACTCAACAAGCAATATGACCAATTTTCGTGAACAGCGTGATGTGCACGTATCATATCAAGTTGCATACAAATGTGGAATATTAGAAGCTTAAGAGATTTTTCATGACAAATTTCTCGAACCAGCGTGACATTTTTTTCTAGGGTACTACATGTCGGGTTTTCACCTATTGAGTATGCTCCTTTTCCACCTGAATTTTTGTTGGCCACTTTTTGTTTTTAGCCAGAAATACAGCGTGTTCACAAATGGACTTTTTAACTGTTACAGTTTAGTGTATCGATTATAGATAGCGAGTTGTTTTACAAGAATTTGCTGTATCGTATCTACCTGGAGGCCACAGTTATTTTCAAGCAGGATAGTGCATCAACTCATTGTGGACTGACTTTTCGTGACTTTCACGGTAAAAAAAATTCCAAATGGCCGTTTTGAAAAGGCAGTCCAGTTTCCTGGCCATCAAAATAACCATAGGTAAACTCCTATAGACATCTTATGGCGTTATGTTAAAGACAGAGTGTATCACAAAATTTGAAGACCTCAATTGTCTCAAGAATTGTATATGCCAACAATGAGGTGATATTGCATTACACGTGGTCAGAAATTGTGCATCGTATCGATGTGTTGCGTGCAACCAATTGGTCAAATGTAGAAGTGTTCTGATGTGTTTAAATATAAAATTATTTGTTTATCTATGTTTTCCCCTCTAGAGTTAACTATATTTATTCTATTTTTTATGATTTTTTAATATTGTTCGGATCATGTATGAACGCTCTGTATTTTGAGCTGTAATTTTAAGAGTTTTATTTTTTTAGTTTAATGTTTCCAAAGCTTTAAGTTGATTGGCTGTTAATTTTTAAGACACGCCCATTGTAACCTCCCGCCATTCCAAAGATAACCAGTCTCTTTCCAGTACTCGTTATTTGAGCATTATTCATCTTCCATCTCATTCCCTGTTTGGGTTATGTGCATTCTTTCTTAATATACATTTGTTATGCAAATTTCTATACTACTGAAAATTTTATTAATATTATTTGATTTTTGTTAGGTTTTTCTTTTAACATCGAGGTATTTTTCTCCTAAAATGTTTAATGCGATTTATTACATTTTTTTTTCACAGTATCACGTTTCACAAATATATGCGCTTCATTATTATATAAGGAAACTATTTTTAACAGAATCTTTTCCAATTCTTTCTTTGTTTAAATGACTAATATTTTAACAATAAAATTTAATTTTCTATATATTGAACAATTTTATCACAGCTATGTATTTCCTCTTGAACTGATTATTTTATTAGTATTGTTTATATATTTATTGTTACTATTTACATATTCACACGCTTTATAATATGTTATAAGTAAATTAGAAGTTATTTAAAGTACACCGGATAATGAGCATATGTTATAAATAAATCGCCATCTAACAGAAAAGAACTAGCTGCCATACCCAACTGGTCGATCAGAAAAAAGCGTTCAATTAAAAGAGAGAGAGAGAGAGAGAGAGAGAGAGAGAGAGAGAGAGAGACGTTTACGTCGACATGTTCTGTATTTTTCACTGGGGGTCTTTTTCACTCACTGGGTAGCCGTTTATGACAAGAAAGAACACACATCTACGTTGTTTGACGGTTAAAACCCAACTCACCGAAAACTGTTTCTTTATATCTATCATTCCCACGCTGGCTCAGCCAATCAAAATCGACTTCATTGTTTTGTCTTCCATATGACATCGAATGTCAACCTCAGGAAATCCGTGCAAATATGCCATCTCCCCAAATAATAGCCTGGTAAACTATTATTTAACAAATGTAGCTGGTCTGGAAGAAATGTGACTTTTAGTTTTGTTTAAAATGTATCAAAGCAACACGCCTACATTCGCCTTATTGTTAAGTAGTAGCTTTTGATAATTTGGAGAATTAACAGTTGTTTTTTTTTCTTCTTTTAGCTAGAATAATTCTAAAGAAATACTTATAGGCAAAAAATGCATAGACTAATAAATAAATTGTTGCAATAGGTGCATGTTTAATCACATTTTATTCATCGCATTGTTAAAGGAACTAAATGTATTTGGGCTAAAACAGTGGCAACGATATTTTGCACAAGTATATGACGAAAGAAAGAAAGTGGATAGATTTAAACAAGGCGATATCTAAAATATTTTTGTTTTTATATAACTGTAAAAAGAGAGAGAAAATACACGAATCAAAATAAAAACATTAAAAGGTGAGGAATTCTGTTAGCGATACACGTGTGTTTGTGTGTGTGCGTGTGTGTGTTTGAAACATTAAGTTACTAGAGGGAAATATATCTCCATAGTCGGAAACAAGGTCACTTGGATGTCGTCGCTACAGAATTCTGGACGGAAAGGAGAGGGAAAGATAGGAAGTTTCTCGTTGTGCAGCCCCTTCTAAAGGCGTCCTGTTGAAACTGGATAACCCGCAAAATAAATAAATGAAAATATAGAATTCATGCTAGAATGTATTCCCCAAATAGGAAGTGTCTAGACAGTCGACGAGTACCGTTTTTTGCGAAAGTGAAAATGACGATATCTAGAGATAAATGAGATTGTTTGAGCCGTCTGTAAAGTTATGATGTGCCAGCCATGTAAATAGTTAGATGGGGACGCTATAGAATACAGGCTACTATAAAAAACACATATTTTTTAAAAATATGTTTCAACTTTAAAACAAACAACAAAAGACTTAGATTTACTAAGCGTAGCTTAGATATAGCACATAACCGAAAGTATGGAATACCCAGTGAGCGTCGAACTCTCTATTCAATCGTAATTGATCTAGGGAGTCAATCTTGATAACTCCATGAACAAAGGGTTTATGAACCGTAAAAATAATCCAAATCAGTAATCATATATTTGTGAGGATATTGTGACATTGCTTGAATGAAATTAAGATTAAAATGGTTCATGTGAAAACACCATTTAGAATTGGGGAATGAATTGCAAGGCGTGAAAACGGTAAAACGTTAAGGTGACAGCATGGAATAAAATATGGAGCAACGAAAGTGGATTGTTTTTTTCCTTCTGATAAGCAGAAACGCTGAATGGAAAATATGGTTTGGTAAAAATATAAGCTAAAACAGGCAAGGGAAATTCTTGCCATTTGGAATAAATTTCAAAGCGCAAAATGTTCATTGTTTTGAATGATTGACTGTTTTGGTACTTGCAGGTCATTGACCGAAGGGTAGCGAATTTGGGTAAAGCCCAAAGAATTCGCAAATCGGATTTTGTAAACAGGCAACTGGGAAGGAAATTATTTGGGTCGTATTGGGAACTCGACAAAGAGAATTCATTGAAATTCGACAAACAAAGAGAATTCTTTGCCGATTTTAAATAAATTTTTCCTCACAAAAATTTGTTAACGAGAAAAATTCTATTATAACACGGCCGATTGTAAAAAAAGGAACGTAGAGATAAAATTTACTGTTTTGTAAGAGCCGAACGCTTTCTTTGAGGATCGAGTGTTGGGGAAAATCACTAATTTATGAATAATTAATGAGTTTTGATATGCGGTAAGGGGACAGGCAAAATACATATACACTGAACGCTTAGTTGAGGTCAGCAGTCAGAGCGAAGGACGCATAACAGCAGCAGACGAGGAGCTTCTGGGCCTACGTGACTTGCTGACAATAGCATTCCCGATCTAATTTCTTGTTTAACCCGCTCATAGTATTAGAACCATGCGATACAGTGTCACGATATAGAGTTTAATGGGAGGGGGGTTCAATTTGTTGCATCAATGATTATATAAACTAATTGAAAATTAACCCGCGACCTTCTTTGTTATTTGTTATGATAAATATATTTTCCCCAGCGGAAGCGTTCTTCCTCCTTTTTCAAAGCATGGTTCCATCAATTCAATACAGCGCATAAGCACAGACGAAAATTCGATCTTCGCTGCTCGGTAAAGAACACAACGTGGGCAGGGAAGACGAGGAACCGAAGCGGTCAGCAGGTAATTGTCAGTGATGATCAGCATGGGGACAACCCAAGATCGAGCCGGGCAGGCCGTGTTATGTATTGAGACATATGTAAATATCGTGATATGATCATAGACCAGCAATTTCTATAACGTAGAATCTTCTTTTTAGTGCAGCTCACAAGAAGGGATTCAAACTAAGCAGACGACACTACATAATAAACAAATCCAGTCGGAAGTCACCAAATTCATACTTTTGGAAATATAATACAAGAAAACTTGCCTGAGAGTTTCATGCAGCGTCTAACCGCGTAGCAAGGTCACCACCTCCATTTGGTTTTGCCATTTCATTTCAGCTATGTTTTAGATATAGAGATCTAAAAAAAAAAAAAAATACGACCAATGTTGCTGCTTTCCTCGCCTTGATAAAATTTACTAA